AACTTTTGCACAATATTCAAATTTTTTGAGTTTCACCTGTATATGGCTATTGTATTTTGACAACTGCAGCAGCCACCGCTAGTTAAAGATGAACTCCAGTCAGCCTTTAAAAATACATTTTTACATCCCACCTACCTCATAAGGTTCAAATGTAGTCTACTATTGTGTAAAGTAGAGGAATACTTACCTTATTTTTTTGTTCGCTCAAGAGCCACTGCTCTTTCAGATCCATTTCAGTCCAAAAATGTGGGCAGGGCCTTAATGTCCTTATTTGGCTGGTCCTATATTGTATATAAAGATGTTGGTAGAGGGCTGTTGCATGACCAGTGAAGAGAAGTAGCTTCTTAGGACCAGGCCTCCATCCTGAAACCAGAGGGCAAGAAGCCTGCAAAAGTAAGGAATAAGGTAAGTATTTCTCTATTTTACACCCTCCTAGAGTAACAAGTATTTAACCCTTACTGGGGGGGGGGGGGGGGGGGGCACACATAAGTTATTTGACATGAGTTCAACTTTAGATATCAGAATGTCCCTAACCTAGCCACAGTGCTATATTAAAGTCTGTCAGATAGTTTTGGCATTCAAAAGTTATAACAAGTAGGAAGTAGGTTTTAAAATGTTAGGTCCTTTTTTCAGGCATGCGGCAGTGGGTAGGTCCCTTTTACAGGCATGCCTTAATTCTTGATCTGTAATTTCATTAATAAGAAGTGGTATCCCATTGCACCTTGCTAACATGTGTGCATAACAAAGTACAATTTGTTTTACTGTTTAGAGATTTAAAGAAAAGGCTTGCACTGCTTTGATGAAATTTTCACTTGTAGGGCAGCCCCTTGAAATGAATGGGCTGCCCTTAAAGTGACATACCAAAAGACACACTGTTGCACATGAATAGGTATGAAAGGAGACTAAGACAAGCTCTTTAGCCACAGCCACTGTAGAGAATTTCATCCTCAAGTTTGCAGCTGAGGCGTCTCAATTTCACTTTCTCTTTGTAGCTTAGTTCTCATTTCCCAGCACTGCAACAGTGAGTTGGCAGCCTCACAGTCTTCAGATTTGTAATGTAATCAACAACAGGTGCAGTGGAAGCGGGGAAGTGGGGAGAGAGCAAAAGTGCTGAATTCCAACTTGAATGACTTCACTGCTTGTATTGTGAGCATTTGAGGATGAAGTGCTCCATAATGGATGTAACTATAGAGATCAGTGAGGGCCTATTTTTAAATGTATCTACTGCTCTTTAAGAATATGTCCTGTAAATAAGACAAAAGATCATCAAAGCACAACCAATATGGTTCCTCCCATGGACATACTGTATATTCACATCAGGACCACCCGCCTACATCACTGGCCTCTTCCAGAAGCAGGGTATGCGCATGTGATTAGACACAGTGGAATTTTGTCAGAAGGTCCCAGCCAATTAATCAAAACCTGCTGACTGGCCCATCACATCTCAAAGCCTTGTGCTGACAATCAACACAGGGCTCTGTACAGAGGGAACAATCTCTTTGTTTCTTCCCTTTGCAAAGCAGGGATGAGAAACTGAGAGACATAGTAGGAAAGCAGCACATTTTACACATATTACACATAGTTAGGCACACATTTAACCCATTGATCACCCTAGATGGTAACCCCTTCCCAGCCAGTGTCATTAATACAGTCACAGTGTATAGTATTATCACTGATCACTGTATTAATGCTACTGGTGATTCCAGTGGCAATTAGTTCCCCCCAGCGTCAGTGTCAAAATGCCCGCTGCACAGTCCCATTGTATGTCCAAGTAATGTCCCTAAGAATGTTCGCAAATGATGTTAGGAACGGGGTTCATATGAGACTCTACTAAATATGAGCTAGTAATTATCAAGCCCTGTTAGATGAAGAATCCTATACAAGTAACATTGGAAACAGCACTCATACACTACCTCAGAGGTCACTCATCACACACCACACCACAAGCTATATTGATACCTAATTATAAGGAAAAATGTTCTCTCAAAAAAATGGTGGGCTAATGTTTGCATTCACAAAACACTTGATAATTACTAGCTCATATTGAGTGGATTTGGGTATAGTTTGGCAGATATATTTATGCGTCTACTGTATTAAATCCTAGGGGTTGTCACCCCCTTTCCTGAGCATTTTTTGAGCCCTGTCCCTAATATTATTTGGGAGCATTCTTAAGGTTATTTCTTGGAAGGTAGTGTATTTTGGTATGTTATGTACCAGCCAGCACTTATTAGAGCTCATACCTGGAGTTACTGTATGTCAGAACACTTTTTGGCAGATACCTACCTATTTATTATAAATGTATAATAAGGTTATTTTTAAAACAAATGGTCAAATTAACCACATTTATATACATGGGCCGGATGGGAGCAGTTCAGGGGCCGGTGGCCGTTTATAAACCTCCTCTCCGCTTCCCTGCGTGTGCGCGCTCCCTGGGAGAGAGCAGCACCGTGATCAGGTGCCCGCTGTTTCCTCCGGACACAACGGAACACAGATCGTTGAACGGGACCTCTGTGTGAGGTCCCGATCATGTGATCACTGATTGGCCAATCAGTGATCACATGAAGAGTAGTAAGCAAGATGTCACTTCCTGACATCATTGCTTACTACTTGTGAAATCTGTGAATGATCACAGAGGTCACATGGTACAAGGCTATTCACAACAGCCTTGTACCATGTGACAAGCTGTGACCAATCACAGCTCACACAGTATTTCTCAATGACTGCAATAATGCAACCAGAGAGGAGACATTATTGCTTTTACAGCCGTTATGGGTGTAAAAGCAATCAGTGTAAAAAAAAAAAAAATCTTCATCACCCCCCACAAGTAGTACAGTGTCACTATGGTGACACTGTACTGCTAGGGTGACAGTATCTTAAAAAAAAACATGAATAATAATATAAAAAAATAAAATAAAAATGTAAAAAAAGTTTTTGAAAATTATAATTTTTAGTTATAAACTAATTTGGGTTATTTTTTTCACTATAGTGATACTGTACTGCTAGCGTGATGGTATGTACAAAAAAAAAAAAAAAAATAATAAATATAAAAAAAAAAAATAGAAATGTAAATATAAAATTAGAAAAATTATAATTTTTGGTTATAAACTAATTTGGGTAATTTTTTTTTTTACTAAAAAGATAACTGAATACATTTTGACCAAGATTTATGAAGAAAGATTACTTATTTGCAAAACAGAAAAAGACATTTTCATTTATATAGCAAAAAAATTAAAATTCCAGTGGTGAATAAAAACCACCAAGTTTTATCTGTCTCAAAAAAATCATATGGGTACAGTGTTACATGACCACGCAATTGTCATTCAAAGTGTGATAGCACTGAAAGCTGAAAATTGTCCTGGGCAGGAAGGGGGTGAAATTGTCCAGACATGAAGTGGATAAGAGCCTATATGTGTTAAAATGGTGTGAAAATCATTTAGGTAAGCAGGGAGTTAAAACGTTTTTGTTCTGCAAAACAGTGCATAGCAGTGGTTTGGTTGCAAATGATTTGATAACAGAAAAGAGAGAAAACAGAACCTCTAAGTGTAGACTTCGTATGATGTTTATTAGCAAATATGTTAGGCAACTCACATGGTAAAAGTAATAACAGGCTCATCATATGACCAAAGGTGACAGGACTGCCATTCCACAAATGATGAACACCATGGGCACTGAGATGTATGACTGGCTTGGCCAGAGGAAGCTGGCCGACACCTCTGTTGTTCTGAGGCATTTGCTGGAATGCAACTGTTGACTGCAAGCGTCTGGCGTTGTGACATCACCAAGGTTGGTCAATGCGTTTCTGAGTATGGGCGAAGTCCAACTCCTCTGTCTTTGGTATTATGTGTGGAGACTTCACTAACTACTTTGGTCAGTCAGTTGTGCAATCTTTTCTTGGCTCCACCCCTTTCTCCTGACATGCCTCGCCCGGACACTTGCAATCCATGGTTATGTTCCAGCGAACGCCTCGGAGTGACAAAGGTGTCGGCCAGCTTCCTCTGTCCAAGCCAGGCATATGACTCAGTGCCCACAGCATCTTTCCTTTGTGGAATGGTGGACCTGTCACCTTTGGTCATATGATGAGCCTGTTATTATTATTTTTACCAGTTACCTAACTAATTTGCTAATAAAATTCATACGAAGTCTATACTTAGAGGCGCTGTTTTCTCTTTTCTGTTGCATGTTTGGAGCCAGCTTCTGCTCTTACTTCAGCTTGCCTACAGTGGATAGACTTGTTATGAGATATTTTATACTGGACTTTTTTTGAACATCTCCTTTGTATATATACTGATCTTAGGACTATCTGATTTACACTGTTGTTCTATGCGCCTTATTTTTAACCTTTCTAAATTATCTGATAACCATGGGCATTGTTAGGGATCCAGGTATGACCAGAAATGTGTGGACTGACACAGGGAAGTAGCAGGCTTCTTTTTTTTTTTTTTTTTTTTTTTTTTATGGGTTAAGTTATTATATTGGATCCATATGGAGCCAACAGCTTGCACAGAGCTTTACAAAATGTAAAGTTACAATACAACTCAATGCAAGAAATTCAAGTATGTAGCTGTTAGGGATCCGGGTATGACCAGAAATTTGTGGACTAACACAGGGAAGTAGCAGGCTTCAGGAACACTGGCGTAGTCAGGGCTGGAGAGGTGGAATGGTCAGGCAGGCCGTAAGGTACTGTCAGGCACCGCCCGGCGGGATCTCTACTGACCCACAGAACAGGATTCCCCAGGGCGCGGAGTCTAAGCCCCAGTCTGCCTTTTCACCAGAGCCCCTGATGGTGGGGATGGACTTGGTGCAGGACTGAGACCAGGTCACGGCCCCTGAGTGCACCCAACTGTGGTAGAGGGGTCCGCCGAGGGTATGTAGGTAGGAAGCCTGATGTGAAGAGGCAGAAGGTGTGAGCAGGGATGGCTGGATCTGTGCAGGATGGATGGATCGTCTGGGTAGCGTAAGGCGTAATCAGGCAGGCCAGGTCAGCAACGTGCGGCAGCGAGGTACCGAAGGAGCAGGCAGAGAATAGTCAGGGTCACAAGCCGGGTTCAGGAACTCATGGGCAGCGCGGTACAGAGGATCAGGCAGAGAATGGTCAGGATCACAAGCCGGTTCAGTAACTCACGGCAGCACGTGTCAGGGCTCCAGGGTATGACCAGAGGTATGTGAACTGACGCAGGGAAACGCAGGCTTCAGATAAGTTATAAACAATATAAATTTATTAAAGACTAACAATACAAACATAAACGCAGTGCAATACTAAACCATAACACAGTGCAAACGAACCAAACCAAACCACCCACAGATAACAGTACATACAATGCAAGTGTCGTCAGGCAGGCCGGGTCAATAACAATCGGGCAGGTAGGTACAGGGGGTCAGGCAGAGAATGGTCGGGGTCACAAGCCAGGGATAAAACAGGAGAAGTCAGCAGAGGTCCGGATCAGACAGGGTCAGCAACGAATCAGACAGAGACAGGGACAGGAACAGGGATGCAGGAACAAGATACAGGGCCCAGGAAAAACACACACCAAGGCAGAGACTGCAGGTCTGGCCATCCCTTAAATACAGCTGCATAATCAACTTCAGGTGTTTGGCTGGCTGCAGGGTTGAGTCTCTGATTGCTGGGAGCACCCGCTGGCCAGCTCTGGTACTGCAGCCCACAAGGCAGGTGAGTCCCACCATTACTGGCAAGTCCATTCCTGACAGTACCCCCCCCCCTCAAGGAGCGGCCTCAGGACGCTCCAAACAGTCCTAGCTGGGCAAAATGTTCCACCCGCCCGGGATGGTAACTGGCGGGATATCAAAGACTGGCACATCGGGCAGGACTCCGGGCAGCGGCACACCGGGCAGGACTCCGGGCAGCAGCACACACCGGGCAGGACTCCGGGCAGCGGCACACCGGGCAGGACTCCGGGCAGCGGCACACCGGGCAGGACTCCGGGCAGAGGCACATCGAGCTGGACTCCGGGCAGAGGGCACATCGAGCTGGACATCGGATCACCAGGCGGAGCGGCAGGCACCGGGCCCCCAGGCGGAGCGGCAGGCACCGGGCCCCCAGGCGGAGCGGCAGGGCAGGCACCGGGCCCCCAGGAGGGGCGACAGGCATCGGGCCCCCAGGAGGGGCGACAGGCATCGGGCCCCCAGGAGGGGCGACAGGCATCGGGCCCCCAGGCGGGGCAACAGGCATCGGGCCCCCAGGGAGGGGCGAAAGGCACCGGGCCACCAGGCGGAGCAGCAGGCACCGGGCCCCCAGGAGGGGCGACAGGCATCGGCCCCCAGGAGGGGCGACAGGCATCGGGCCCCTAGGCAGAGCGACGTGCATCGGGAGGCCCCCAGACGGAGCGCCGGGCGCCGGGCCCCAGGCGGAGCAACGGGCGCCGGGCCTCCAGGCGGAGCGACGGGCGCCGGGCCTCCAGGCGGGGCGGCGGGCGCCGGGCCCCCAGGCAGAGCGGTGGGTGCCGGGCCCCCAGGCGGAGCGGCGGGTACCGGGTCATCAGGCACGACAACGGGCATCGGGTCACCAGGCATCAGGTCATTTGGCTCGCCAGCGGGCACCGCGTCATCTGGCAAGGCAGTGGGCACCGAGTCACCAGGCACGACAGTGGGTTCCGAGTCAACTGGCATGACCACGGGCACTAGGTCAGACATTGGATCGTCTGGCTCGACAGCAGGCATCGGGTCACCAGGCATCAGGTCATTTGGCTCGACAGCGGGCACCGCGTCATCTGGCAAGGCAGTGGGCACCGAGTCACCAGGCACGACAGTGGGCTCTGAGTCAATTGGCACGACAGCGGGCACCGGGTCATCAGGTACCGGATCGTCTGGATCGACAGCGGGCACCGGGTCATCTGGCGTTGGATCGTCTGGCTCGACAGCGGGCATCGGGTCACCAGGCATGACAGCGGGCACTGGGTCACCAGGCATCAAGTCATTTGGCTCGCCAGCGGGCACCGCGTCATCTGGCAAGGCAGTGGGCACCGAGTCACCAGGCACGACAGTGGGCTCCGAGTCAACTGGCATGACCACGGGCACTGGGTCAGACATTGGATGTCTGGCCCGACAGCGGGCATCGGGTCACCAGGCATGACAGCGGGCACTGGGTCATCAGGCATGGGATTGTCTGGCTCGACAGCGGGCATCGGGTCACCAGGCATGACAGCGGGCACTGGGTCACCAGGCATCAGGTCATTTGGCTCGCCAGCGGGCACCGCGTCATCTGGCAAGGCAGTGGGCACCGAGTCACCAGGCACGACAGTGGGCTCCGAGTCAACTGGCATGACCGCGGGCACTGGGTCAGACATTGGATTGTCTGGCCCGACAGCGGGCATCGGGTCACCAGGCATGACAGCGGGGGTCATCAGGCTGGGGTCGACAGCGGGCATCGGGTCATCAGGCATGACAGCGGATACGTCAGGTACCGGATCGTCGACAGACAGCGGGCATCGAGTCAACTGGCCTAATGGAATCATCAGCTGGATCAGTTTCATCAGGCTGGGTAGAAACATCATGCTGGGTGGAGGCATCAGGCTGAATGGAGGCGTCAGGCTGAATGGAGGCGTCAGGCTGGGTGGAGGCGTCAGGCTGGGTGGAGGCGTCAGGCTGGGTAGGGGCGTCAGGCTGAATTGTGGGCGCCGAGGCACCAGGCTGCACCACGGAAGGCAGGTTCTCAGATGGGAGGCTGACCGGTTTGGATACTGGCAGGATGGTATTGGTTGGAAAGAACTTTCGCCTTTTCCTGGTTTTAGTTACCGGAGCACCGTAAGTAAGCGCAGGTTTGTAAACGGATGGAGCAGCTGGAGACAGAGAAGAGCTGGAGGATGGAACAGGGGAGGGAACAGTTGCTACAGAGGGCTTCTTTACAGGGTTAAAGGCAGAATAGGTGCAGCGAGTGGGAACAGGGTACTGCCATGCGGTAGATAGCAGGGTATACTGGGCTGTAACTGGAGGTGCTGTTGGGAATGCAGGAATAGAGCTTTGAAGAAATAGATTAGAATCAGGACTGGGTTTTTGCAAGCTGACTGAGGCTGGGTGCAACAAGTCTGACCATGTCTGCAGTATGGGTTGAACAAAACTCAGCTTACACAAAGCCTGTCTGACCAAAGACTGCACTGCGTTTATACAATCTCTTAGTACCTGTTGTGAACATGCAGAGTAACGCTCCAGAAAGTAATCCACATCATCCTCTAATAACCATACCAGGGACTCTACCTGGTCGGCACTAAATGGGGGGTAAAAATTCATCCCTGCATTTGGGGGTACCAGATGAAACCAACTCAGCACAAACCTGAATCAATGGCTGCACCTCAGAGAACTCTGTGCCCTGATCTACTAGGCAATGAGCGATCCGTATACATTCTAGCAGTTCATCCCTGGGATACTCCTTCAGAGTTTGATAAGCATACTCTGTCATCAAGCAGAGATAAATACACAACCTCATCAAGATCCATCCTTCCCAGCAACAAGCCAAGATGGCTTCCCTGTGCAGCCACTTCTGGTCAGGATTGGCCTTGGTGTAATGTCAGGGCTCCAGGGTATGACCAGAGGTATGTGAACTGACGCAGGGAAACGCAGGCTTCAGATAAGTTATAAACAATATAATTTTTTAAAGACTAACAATACAAACATAAACGCAGTGCAATACTAAAACATAACACAGTGCAAACGAACCAAACCACCCACAGATAACAGTACATACAATGCAAGCGTCCTCAGGCAGGCCGGGTCAATAACAATCGGGCAGGTAGGTACAGGGGGTCAGGCAGAGAATGGTTGGGGTCACAAGCCAGGGATAAAACAGGATAAGTCAGCAGAGGTCCGGATCAGGCAGGGTCAGCAACGAATCAGACAGGAACAGGAACAGGGATGCAGGAACAAGATACAGGGCCCAGGAAAAACACACACCAAGGCAGAGACTGCAGGTCTGGCCATCCCTTAAATACACCTGCATAATCAACTTCAGGTGTTTGGCTGGCTGCAGGGGTTGAGTCTCTGATTGCTGGGAGCACCCGCTGGCCAGCCCTGGTACTGCAGCCCACAAGGCAGGTGAGTCCCACCATTACCGGCAAGTCCATTCCTGACAGCACGGTACAGAGGATCAGGCAGAAGGATGGTCAGGCAAGCCAGGGGTTAAACAGGAGACGGTCAGCAGGGTCAGGAACAATGCAGAGTCGGCAACAAATCAGATAGGCAGAGGAACAGGAACACAGGATACAAGGTACAGGGGCTCATGGGAAACATACACCAAGGCCCTGATCACAGGCCTGGTCATTCCTTAAATACACCACCTGCAATCAGCCCCAGTTGTTGGCTGACTGCAGGAGTGAGCTTCTGGCTGCTGAGAGCACCCACTGGTCAGCCCTGGTACTGCAGCCCACACGGCAGGTGAGTCCCACCACCAGTGCTGAGTCCATTCCTGACAGGCATACAAAGGTTGGAGAAATTCATTTTAATCAGTGGCCCCTCCCTTACCAGATGGTTGAACTAGAAGTTTCTATCATACAAACAGAGTTGCAAAGCAAGCTGTGCTGTCTTTTCATAATTCATTGTGCTCTGGAAACCCTTTCTCAGGTACAAAATATTTATTTGTAAAAACAATGAATGTATACAGATAATAACAAATATAAAGCAATATTAAAAATCTATACACTTAGGCTGGCCATACATTCTAAAATTTCCCTTTAGATTTACCAAAAAACATATAATACAAGGTCAAACCTAAACAACATATTCAATTTGTATCCAGTCAGACAGGCCCTTGCACTACATATGTTCTGTCCCCACATGAAGGCGAATGAAGGTTTAACTGATAATGGCTGTGTAACTTCCTACCTTCGTATCCAAGCAGTGGAGCAGACCGGACCGGCAGATGCTCAGGTTAGATGGATCCAAACGTATACACGGGAATGAAATCAGCGTGGGTTTATTTGATCCAAATACAGCGACAAACAGTGATACAATACTGTAATGTAGTAGAGGTATTGATGCTGTCCTGTGATATCTTTCCTGAGGCTACCTGCTGGTCAAAAACTGATGCCTTCACAAGCCCAGGGTATTGAATGTCCTGTCACACAGCTATAAAGCACATAAAAATGGCTGCAGGAAGTGACCAGAACCAAGGCTTGCCTAAAACCACGCCCAGCAGAGAAAAACCTTACTAGCTATAACAGGGGCATGCAGCATGCAAATTCTGGCCAGCAGATGGCAGCAACAGATCAAGACATAGAAACAAACATGGTGAAATAAGAATTGGTGATACAATGCACAGTTAAATAACAAATATGAGGGGAACAGCACAACATAGTTGAAGGTAAACCTAAAGGAGATTTACACAAATTGCACAAGAAAATTGTATAATGTATGGCCAGCCTTAAAAATCAACATAAATAAATTTAGCTCAACATGCAAACATATCTGAGGAAACTGAAGGTATAACTTTGTTTTGCATTGTGCTCATGGGAAGCACATCTAAGAAGAAAATATAGATCTAGATTATTTAAATGCATGTACAATGTACATCTAAAAACTGTAAAACTGTGTAATAAATTGGCCAGCTGTTAGCAAACAGCTCAAAAAAATATGGACTATAATGCCTCTGTTGGGAGCTGTATACTTGTAAGTACATTCCAGAAATATGTAGTTTGTCCTCTACTCAGTGAAAATTGTTTTACTTGAATTACCTTTTACAGAGTGGTTGTTCATGTTGAAATAAAGCATCTAATCATGGGCTCAGAAGGAGCAACAGAAACATTTCATTTCATCTTTTTCCATTGAATGTAGTGTGAAAAGGTTGGGAAGGCCAGCAGTGAGGCATGAGTCTACAAAAATCCAGCTGTTCTTTTCCATTTACAGCTAGACATAAGTAAAATATCATTACTCTTGAGTTGCAACAAATTGTCGATGTTTTGAAAGACAGAGTTTTCTCAAATCCAGAGATTTTAGATATTTCTGGTAAAGCACACTGGTCAGCTTTCCATTACACTGATATTTTTATTCGTAAAAGAGGTCCTATAAAAATGTATGTCCCTGTCCAACAACTTGAAGCCTGTAGTGAAAATTAAAGCAGAACCCCGTCTACAGTATTTTTTTTTTCATCCTGCTGTACACTGGCTGGTGGGAGGACTTAGGCAAGACGTCTGCAGTGATGTGATGGCTCCACCTATCTAAGCTAACAAAAACTGCTTTGCCTAGATGTGAACAGTACTACTTGTCTGAGTTACTCTTCCACACTCCTAACTATGCCTGTATAAGTGGATAATACAGCACGCATTATCACCTGAAGTTGGGAAACAGCATATCAGTTGTACTCATTGAGAAATAACAGTGCATGCGCACATAGAGAGTAGGGATGAGCCACATTGCCCTGGGTTCAGTTTGAGCATGTGTTTTGGCAAAATAATTTCATCTGTTGAAACCAATCTTCATTGAATTCAATGGAAGCCAAGTCTGTCAAATACATTTTTTTTTAAATTAATAGACAAAGTGTTAAAAAAATAGCATAAAAATTCTATCCATCTGGGAGCAGTGAGCTTTGAAAGCACTGACATTTAGAAAAGAAAAATGTTTTTAAATTTCCAGCAAATAGCATTTCCTTTCTAGCTGATATCTTGTAAAAACGCACAGAGATCCCTCCAATAAGGTTAGAAATCAGGGATCAAATACTGGCTTCCCCTACACGGTGATTACCGAAGATCTCCAATGGGGAGGAGGGCTGCTTTGTTTACTAACAGTCCTGCTCCCTGTCGGCTCGGGCACACTACTCTGGATGGCTGTGCAGAGCACAGCCTTCCAGAGCAGTGTGCTTACAGTAAAGCACCAACACTCCGCTCTCTAGTAAAACACTCCCAGGACACAACCCTTGTTAACCCCTTCCTGCCCAGTGCCATTAGTACAGTGTCAGTCCTTTTTGTTAGCATTGATCAAGTGATACACGTAAAGAAAAAAGTAACCTAGAAATAGACATCTCCCCGAGCTGTCATCAGCTATATAAGGAAGGGACAAAGAAAGTAATGACCTCATTGATCAAATATGTCCATGACCATTTTTTGTTTATGTAATTTCCTGGATATGGCGAGTGACTATATTTGGACAGTTTTTATATAACTCCCAAAGACCCAAGAAAAGTCACACTTTCCCCTTGAAAGCAAAATAGTAAAAAACCTTTTTCTCTACTTAAACTCAGAAACCCATACACCATAAATAAATAAGCTAAATAAATAAATTAAAGTTCAAAAAATTAATCCAAAAGTAAGTCCAAAAACAAATGTCCAAAAATGAATAAATTAATAGTCCACCACAATATATCAATCCAGTGTCTCCAACTTTTAATTATGAAAAAGTGTAAATATGAAAAAGTCTGGAATGGAGAATTAAAAGTTGGAGACACTGGATTGAGATATTGTGGTGGACTATTAATTTATTCATTTTTGAACATTTATTTTTGGATTCATTTTTTGGACTTTTATTTATTAGTTTATTTATTATTGGTGTATGGGTTTCTGAGTTTAAGTAGAAGAAAAGGTTTTTTATATTTGTGTTGTAACTGCTATCCACACCCCTTTAAGTGACCAGGGTTTCCTGACCATGTAAGCCCATGTGACAGCAGAAGTTGCGAAGGATGAAGCAGGTGTGATCATCCATGGACACCGAGAAGCTGTCATATACAGAAGCGGTAGAAATACCACTTCTATATGTGATTATACGATGCTTGGTTCCTGCCAAACGGGGCTGAATGAACAAAGTCCTAGGTTTGAACTAAATCATTGACTCATCCCTAATAGAGAACACAGCAATATACACTGTGGACTGCAGAGGAATTCCTGGGATTTACTGTGTACATGGAAGGGTGGAGGGCAGGGGCAGACTGACAACTCATGAGGCCCCCGGGCAATAGGGGATAATGGGGCCCCTGTGTCCTTGCCCAAACTCAGAAAAGCCTATGAAAAAGGTACCAGGGGCATCTCATGGGGCCCCCTACTGACCCTGGGCCCTCGGGCAGTGCCCGAGTTTTCAGATGGTCAGTCCGCCCCTGGTGGGGGGATGCTTTATGCAGCTCTTCTCCACCCTGATGAAACATGATGCTGTTATTATATTTATAATATGTTACAGTTCAGCTCACACAGGTACTAGAGGACCAACCTACCAACTGCTGCAGAGGAATTTCTGAGTCCTAAGATTCGGTGTGCACAAGGAGGGGAAGGGCTCCATAGCAAACTTTTTTTTCTGCCAGATAAAATTACCCCTGTAATTGTTGTATGCATCACAAAAAACTCAGCAGCAGTGATTGACATGCCTGTATCTACTTCAGCTGCAGAAGGTTTTACCCCTTTCATGGCCAGGGCATTTTTTTTTTTTATTCAGTACTGTGCTACTTTAAATGGTCATGCAACACTGTATGCAAATTAAATTTATATAAATTTTTTTTCTTTCGATGGTATTTGATCACCACTGGGTTTTTATTTTTTCATTATATAAACGAATAAAGACCAAAAATGAAAAAAAACAACTATTTTTTTATATATAGTTATTAACTGCTTCCCGTCCGCCCTATAGCAGTGTGTGTATGTGTGTGTATATATATATATATATACAGTTGTGGCCAAAATTATTCAACCCCCAAAAAATTGAGTGTTTTGGCCAGTTTGACATTGCTTTTGATCATTCAGTCATCTTGCTTACATTTACATTAAAGAGGCACTTGTAGGTCAGACAAATATAACATAACAGTTATAATGAAATAACCACAAATGTCTTTTCTGTGCTCACAGATTATCAGTTTTATTCAACCCCCCCAAGTGACATTCAATCTTAGTACTTAGTACAGCATCCTTTTACAGTTATAACAGCTTTTAAACGTGAAGCATCGCTTGACACAAGTGTCTTGCAGCGATCTACGGGTATTTTCGCCCATTCTTCATGGGCAAAGGCCTCCAGTTCAGTCACATTCTTAGGCTTGCGCACTGCAACTGCTTTCTTTAAGTCCCACCAGAGGTTCTCAATCGGATTTAAGTCTGGTGACTGCGATGGCCACTCCAAAATGTTCCAGCCTTTCCTCTGCAACCATGCTCTAGTGGACTTGGAGGTATGCTTGGGATCATTGTCCTGTTGAAAGGTCCAACGTCTCCCAAGCCTCAGGTGTGTGACGGACTGCATCACGTTTCCATCCAATATCTCCTGGTACTGAAGAGAATTCATGGTACCTTGCACACGCTGAAGCTTCCCTGTACCTGCAGAAGCAAAAACAGCCCCAAAGCAT